TTTATTTGCTTTCTGCATATTTGCACCTGAAATATCTTAGCGCTATTAATTTTCAGTACAGATCACATTTCATAGGACATATTTCTTTCCAAATCTGAATTTGATTTATGATTAACATAAATAGATAATAATATTAAATATGGTTTAGTAAATCTGTTTCTCATAATCTGCAGAATCTAACCTGAAATTGTATTTGAATGGAATTGCCTTTTGAGTGACTGCTGGACATTATGAGTTTGTACATGTTAATGATTACTGTTGCTTAGGAACAGCTGATGATCGGCTGCTGGAGTCCTGCTAAACTAATGAATGTCAGATTTATTTCGGAACATTCACAGCTTCTAAAATTGTGGCACGTAAAACATGGTTTAAAAAAAATTACCTCTGACAGTAGTGGGGAACTGAGCTGCTTTAATCATACCATAGATTTTGGTAATTGGTCTTTTAACCATGAATTTACTTCATTCTTCATTCAAACTCTCTGGCAATTCTTGAAAGGTATCTTAATCTAAATAGTTTCCAGACCAGTTGAAGGTCTTTCAGAGTTTTTTTCGGGACTTTGGCAACTTTTTTGCAAAAACAGTTTATGAAAACAGTTTTTTTTTAATGCAGATTAAAGTCTAAATGCAGTCCAGTAACAGTGCAAAGTCCCAGTTGACTGGAAAAATATAAAAGCAACGGAAAACTTTTGAAGTATTGAAATAAATAATAATAAAATGGAGTGTTTGACAGTCGCCCACCTGTCCCATATCAAAACTGCCACTGCTCAGCAACATTAAAGCAAAAATGAACCTAAGGATTTCGATGAGAAGACAAAAGATTAGAATTTGTAACTTTAAAGTGGTCAAATCCATTTAGCCAACTGTCTGGTTAATATTTTCATTTCATTTGGACATGTCAACTCAAAACTTCTGAATCATCCTTAATCCCTTGAATCATGTTAAAATGACATTGATCAGAAATCTTAATATAAGCCCAAAAACTAAGACTTCTTTTTGGAGATCTTTAGGGAATGAATATAACTTGTGCCTCATAAATAAGTTGTATAAATAAAAAAAATATATCATCAGTGATGTATTTATTATTCAAATGTAGTTTAATATAAACTGCTACTACTACTAATAATTACTCTAAGGAACTAAATAAAATGATTTAGTTTAATAAGTTGGACATGTTAAACATGTTTTAAGCAATTTTCCTCAAAGTTTTGTCTTAATTAGATATTTGCTCAATTAGTTGTATTAATTTCAACCTTTATTATTCTACATAAAAAAAAACAGTTAATCGAAAATCAGTTGTCAAGCATCAGCTGTCAGAGGATAACTAAACTCAGCCCAAAAATATAGTTAAGGGACATAGAAAGACAAAAGGCTGCAACAGCCAAAAAAGTCTCTACAGATAATGATATTATAAAGAGGGAGAAATGCATTCATAACGTTAAGGAGCAGCGGAATAAAAAAATACCCATAAAAACCCCTCAAACATTATATAGTTGGCTTAATAGCTACTGAGAGCAACAAGTCTTAAATCATTAATACCTGATCCCTGATCTAATCTACCGTAATGAAGCCCAAACTAATTATCTCTCTGAAACAGGCTGCAGAGAACATGGTTTTTAAGTTTGTATAATTCCTTCTATGTTTTGGAGATAGGGTGTCGTACAGAATTAGTTAAATGCAGCAACATAAAATAACATAAATAAATAAAAAACATCAGGAGGTCTGAAGATTAGAAAAAGAGCCTGAGTCTTTGCAGGCAAAATCTAAAGAACTAAAAGATGAGTCAAGACTTTTGGAGCAAAGTACTTTTTTCCCCCTGATAAATGACACCTTTTGCTCACAGACTGCTCACAGGTCAAAAACGGGACACTGATTCTTACTCCAGCTGAGGTACAATGATGTATGTCTCTACAGAGAGCTTTAGCGTTGAAGCAAACTGCAAAGATAGTTGACCAGGAATTGTCCACAAGTCTGTGGGGGACAGCCTGGTTTGAATTACAAGTAAAGTAAAGGTGTGAGGGAGAAAAAGCCTTCCAGCTTCAAGTGGAGGTTGAAAGCCTCTGAGGCGACGACCTTGGATTTAATGGGCTCCCAGAACGTGAATCATAAACAGGTGTCACAACAGCTGTAACACAAAGGTTCCTGGCTCCAAAGTATCAGAGGGAAGTGGGAGGTGTGGGGGAGATGGATGAGCAGAGCAGTACCGGGTCGGTCTCTGACCACAGAGACAGCCAACAGGGAGCAGGAGCGTTCATTCCTCTGATAGTGATATCTGCCTAACCTTATGACCTGGGATAGTTTGTAAAATCTTATCCAGACTAGGTTTTCTTACATATTTTTATTCATTTTATAACATTAAAGACCAAATGCATAAAAAAAAAGAGAAATACTGAAGGATTGAGCTTTCTGTGATCCAGAACAAGAGAATAACACAAAGGCGCTAAGAAGCTGTATTACAAAGGTCTGCTGTTAAGACGGCTGGGTTCTCAAAGTCACTACAGACTCATTGTCAGCTTTTCCTTTTTTAAGAAATAAATTCCTCTTACATTTCAGGAACAAAAAGAAAAACAACATTAAAACATCTCTTTAAATGTTGCATTTGTCTGCATGTTGCACAGCAAATGGCAGGTTCGCAGAGTCCACCTCCATAACAACCTTACATTTCATTCATTCTGCTTTTTATTCTACTGTGAAAATAAGCCACTTGTGATAAAACTTCAGGGCATTTGAAACGTGTTTTTTTCATCATTCTAAATTTTGCATTTCTGAACAAAACTATTTCCTGATTACATCTAAGGAGATGACATTCAAGTCAGAAAAATGGAAAACAACTTTAAAGCAATTTGAAAAAACAACTGTTGAATTACTTATTAAACACATTTTGTCTTCTTAAGGTGGTGCAGTTTATAGCACTGTTGCCATGGAGCAAGGTTCTGGGTTCGATTTCCGCCCAGGATCTTTATGCGTGGAGTTTCCATGTTCTCCCTGTGCATGTGTGGGTTCTCTCTGGCTACCCCAGCTTCCTCTCACTCTAAAAACATGACTGTTAGGTTAATTGGCTTCTCTAAATTGTCCTTAGGTGTGAGTGTTTGATTGTGTGTGTGTTGTATGTCTTTGTGTGTCTCTGTGTTGCCGTACAACAGACCGGCGAAATGTTCAGAGTGTACCCTTCATCTCGCCCATAGACTGCTGGAGATAGGCACCAGCCCCACAAAAAGACCCTGAGGGAATAAGTGGAGAAGGTACGGAAGAGGATTAGGGCCACTGGAAAAAAAGTTAACTGATTTTTTAATTTTATATCAGTTTAGTATGGGAAAAAAGTCAGAATTCTGACTTTAATCTCAGAATTCTGACTTTAATCTCAGAATTCTGAGATTAAAGGCGATCTTTGTGCAGTAATGCTACGTTCACGCAGCAAAAGCATGTCTGCTGCTTCATTTTTGCTGCTTGTACCAGTTAGTTCTGACGCGTGGCTGAAGCAGCTTTGCTACTCTGGCTACGCGGTGCAAAAGTGTGTCTGACGCGCGTTGGGCGGAGCTTCACTAACCTTTCTCTGCCTTGCAGCTATATTTGCTGTGATCAGTGGGAATAAAGTAGTTTTAATATGTGTTTAAGTGAGAAAATACACCTGAAAATGTAATCAGTGCAGTCAGTTCATTCAGATTATTATCCTGCCTTCAATATTTTTTCTGTCGGAGCCGCTCAGACCCCCACATACCAGGGATGCGCCGACAGTATGGATCCCTTCATCAGCAGCGGTTCACCACGGCAGCTGGTAGGTGTTTTTCATCAAAATAATCCAAACTGCATATTCTGCCGGCAGATTTCTGCATTTTAAGTTAATTTAGGCGTCAATAAACTGTTTAAGAGGAGTGATCATCAGCGCTGTGTCTCTCTCCCTGCGTTAAACGCGCCCGATGCGCTGCTTCAGCTGCTCAGACGTGCTGCGCCTGCTGCTCAAAACGCGCCGCTGGACCTTTTGTTGCGCCTTGACGCGCGTCAACCATTGACTTTGCATGTAAACTCGCTGCTTCTGTCGCGCCAGCTACGTCCAATGTGAACGCAGCATTAGTCATTCGCTGCTAAGCTCAAAACAACCGCGCCTGGCTTGACGGAGAAACCAGGAGAACAGCTGAGAAGATTTACGACAGTGCACTTTTACTTTCGCCCTCTGGGGGGAGCCTCGCTGGAAAATCAACACCGGTTGCATAGTGTACCTTTAACCTGGCATAAACCGTGTGGTTCATATTGAATTCTACGCAGTATTCTTCTGGTAAGCAAGCAAGTTGCCATAAAGGATGTTCACTACGACTCTTCTAGCTGATTGGATAAATGAATTCAAACATGCCTTCAATGTTGAGCTTTTAGCCAATCGCAGCAGCAGTGACAGCTGTGACCTATCACATTCTTGACTTATTTCACAACTATTATCTTTTCCATCCACAAAGGCACATTTCATCCTTTTGCTTGTTTTTCATAATGAAATAAAGGATGTTCCAGCTAAAATCGTCTGTTTTGCTTCAGCCTTCCGCTTCTGCATTTCATTGGTCTGAACATTTCTGTATCAGGATAATGCAACTGCTGGTTTCTGGCAAGATGTATTTTTGGGAGTTTGCGAATTCACAAATCTCGCGACAATACATCTGGCTTTCAAGTTATAACATTTACAAGGACAAAGCTTTTCTGATGTGAGTTATTGTCTGAATGCTTCTACACACAGCTGTCAGTACAGATACAACTTTAGATAAATTCATGTTCCATTACCTACCGAGCTGCTACTTTTCAAGTAATAGTGTATAATCCTTAATAGTAAACTAATCGTAAAGTTTTTATTTTGTTAGGAAGTCACTTAACAGTGGTTGATGCTAAACTCGACCTCCTTAGGGGAATTTTCCAAGCTATTATAAGTCAGACTGCTGTCTGCTGCAGGAAATATACTGACTCATTCATCTTTTCCAATGCAGTGTCTCTGGTGTAAAATGAATAAACAAACACACTCACTCAGCTCTGCGATGCTGCCCACACGGGTGGCCAGCAGCGATTGTTCGAGCGTGCGTAGCTCAGCTTGGGTGTATCCATGACCTTCGCTGCCTCTCCCGGAGCGCTGCTGGTCTCGGTGCAGGTTCAAACTATCTGGCAGGCTCAGCACACCTGGAAGAAGCACAGAGAGGGAGGCCATGGGTTATCAAGAAGCAAAGGTATCACCAAATAGCAGGGGTATGCAAACTGCAGAGAAGCAGCAGGAATGCAGGTCAACAGTGTTAGCTAAATATCGAAAAACAGAGCTGGGATTAAGAGATCCACATTTATTTCCTCAACAAGCTACATTTTAGGGTAAACATTTATTTCTCAGATTAAACATAAAGTGTAGGTTTAAAAGCGGGAAGTGCATCTAATTTTTTTTGGTTAAAAGCACCCAGCAGAGTGAAAAAAGCTTTTTTATTATTATTATTCTCAGCAAAACCCAGATTAAACTTATTTGATCTAATTGTATTTGAGATAGATTCTCTGTGAAGTTGAATGAGAGCTTATGTTGCAAGCCTTGTTTTTACTTAATTACCTGAAGTCTAAGTGAACAAACCAGGCTCTGAGGTTTGCTTTTTATTTCTACAGCATAAACTCAAAAGGTGACCTTGGTGGGTTTTTTTCATAACAACTTGTTGTGATCCCAGATGTATTCTTTTTTGCAGCAGCAGCAGCAGCAGATTATGTTTGTGGACAAGAATTAATCCATTTAGGGGGCCATTATTGCAGCCAGGCCCTGTTTAGCTGCAGAGAATAGCTTGTGACAGATTGGATATTGAGTTTTTTTTGCTACAGGAGAATGGAAAGCAACACCACACTAAGGGCTAATCCTAATGACTCAATGCAGGAGGATAATCTGTTTCTCAACAAACAGTAATTAAAACATGGGGGAACTTGGTCTATTTGTCTATATTTGATGCCAGAATTAAGAAAAAACAAAACGAAACCCCATACAGTCGGACAGAAAGCCTGTGAGCTGGAGTTTTCCTTGAATTCAAAGCAGGATTTCCAGCCTCAAATTCCTCCTACAAAATTTTCTTCCCACAGGGTCCAGCCCAAGAATACCAGTATTCCCTGATCAGAGTCCCACTCCTTCTTCCCACAGCCTTTCCGGGTAGTTTGACTTTATTTAGAGCTTCCAATAATTCTTTTTACAGCAGCTATTTGGGTGTGCCTGAAAATAAGTTCCTTGCGAAATATATGTGAAAGAAACAGAAAGTCTCAGTCGGCATTTCCACATTCTGAAGAATAGATCTATTTCAGAAAGATATATATATATATATATATATATATATATATATATATATATATATATATATATATATATATATATATATATATATATATATATATATATATATATATATAAACATAATCTAAATAGTATTGAAATGACTGCACTATATCCTCTTAATAGGAAAAAACTAATTATTAGATGTTATTAAAGATGCATTTCAACTACAGTGAGAAAAAAGGCCATTATCTGAACTTTTTAAGATATTTATTTCCAATTGGCCACTTAGTTTTTTTGAAACAAAGGTTTATACAGAGCTGGATTGGCTTAAAAGTTGGCAAACACTAAAATATTATTTGCATCTAAACAGTAAAGTAGATGCAATGCAGGACAGATTTTATAAATCTATGACCAGTAATCTAGATATCTTAAAGTTTTCTAGCAGACTAGAAATGTTAGCGTTCTAACATGCCTGGTTATCATTTCAGGTTTATGTAATGTTTCCGGATTTTTGTTTTTCTAGATATTCTGAGCATATAATCTTATTTCCTAACAGACTATGGCTAAAATATAGAATATTAATTTAGATTATCAGTTGTTGAAGTCGGCAAAATATTTGCCTCGGTTCAAATAAATGAACGTGTTATATGCATGGCTCTGATTTGCAGCAAAGAATGATGATTATTTATATGTAAAGGGATCTAAAGCTAATTGGTGCTATGAGCAACACCTTATTTAGAAGTGAAAGATTGTCTTCATGTTAAAATGGAAGATCAGTCTATTAACAGAGATGAACATGAGGAAGTTCAACCTCTTTTAAACTAAGATATACAACATACTGAGCTGATCCCCTACTGCAGTTTGTTTTTTTATATGTCAAGAGGAAGAAGGTTGAAGTTAAGGTTCTGACTTCAAAACACCACCAGGCAAACAGAAAATCAGTTATCCGTCCACCTTTATCTCAATGCACTGGAGAAATCTCTTAATGTCCACAGGATTCTAAAATAATTTAAAATTCACATTCATGTCATTTCCTCCTGGAGTTCTCTCAACTACGTGGATTGAACTTTGACCTGTTTTCCAATGTTTCCTGTAATCGCGGCCTCGGATCATTACTGCCATCCAGATTTGATCTATTTCTACTTCTTTTTGTTCTATCACTTCAAATAGCTATGCTTTTAAAGTACCCACGGGGTGCAGCAGAGACGTTTGTTGAATTTTTCAGACAGATCAAGACATATAAACAAGTCCACAGCTATCTCTTTTCCCCACCTCCAATTCCTGTTACATGTTATCTCTCACTAACATTTGGCTGCTTCTGATAGAAAAAAAAAAAGGAGGAATATTTGATCCTGGGTGATGTTTGTGTAATAAACATCAGAGGTGAGAAAAAAAGCCAGCCTGGCTCCTTGGAGATGAAGAAAAATGGAGGACGGTGGATGGAAATGGGAAGGCTGATGAAAATGACATCAGAAAATGACAGAAAATAAGACAGAGTTATATTCAGTGTTTGACCTTTGAGGGAACAGGATGAGCTCAGTAAAATGTTTACATCTACTTGAGAAATTGTCTAATCCTTTATAAACACGGAGAATCGTTCTTTTTTATTTGGGAAGCTGCTGTCGGCTAAATGAAAATAGAGACTGGGTCATCGGGACAAGACCAATTCGGAGCTCCACGAGGCGTAAAGGAATCCCTGTAGTGATTTCAACAGTGGACTGCCGCTCATGCAAGTCATCATAAATAATGTAGAGGATATTGAGCTGTGCAAGAATACACACCACGACTTTCCGTGTGGAAATAAAACACTGGAGAAAGAGTCCCAGCTGTGTTTCTCATGTAAAATGAATAAACAGCCTAAATCAAAGCTGGTAAAACTGTCCTCATGCCTTACAGTGCTGCTTAAAGTTTTAAGATTATGTCAACTTGATCAACTTCTTTAGCCAGTTATTTTTAAAACATGAGTGCAAAGTTATTTGAGGAAAAATCTGTCTTTTATTCCATATGTATTAGAAAGAATATTGCACTAATTATTTGGTGAGTGTCTTACATTAATGTCAAGCCCCACGACTCTCCAAAATGGAATCTGGATCTTCAAATGACCTAACTTAACCTTACTGCAGTTGTAAGTCAGAAAACTGCTTATGAGAAGATTTAATGACTTACAAGCTTAATTATAATTAGACATACAAACCAAAAACAAAATATTCCTCTTTATTTACTTTATTATTTAAGGGAATAAGATGTTACCCAGGATATTTCAAACATATCTATCCAGCTACAACAAATTAGCAGTTAGAGCTACAGTACTGTTGTATTAAATAACCTTGACTGTTTAAAAAAATAAAATAAAAATGTATTTAAGATAGGCTAGCTCGACTTAAGCCTTTGGCATCAACAGAGCTTTAAGCTGACAGAACTGCAAAGCTTTTGATACCATAATAAATGACAGAAAAAAATAGGTTCATCCTGAAAATGTTAGCCAAGTATCATTTTATAGCATCTACTTATTAAATCTTACATTTTAGACAGCTTAATTCAACAATGCAGTGACAAAAAGAGGATATGTGACATTTTAAGCTTTTTAATACTCTAATTTAGAAAGCAAATAACAAATAATCTAACTACTTAGAGAACACTTTTACTTTTAGATATTTATAGTTTCTTTAAGAAATAATATGATAAACTTCAGATAGGATCAGGGACTGAGCTAGATGGGGGGCCAGGGGTGACCATGGCCACCCTTAGCCAATCATTGGCCACCCCTACCATTTTCTTCCCTCTGATACAGATTGTGGCATCAGTAATACTCTCAAGTGGAATATTCAAAACATTTAAATTTTTCATATATTAACAGTTACTTAAAAACAAAAGCACTGGTTAATTATGCACATCGATATATATTCTAACATTAAAGATAAGTACAGTATTCAGGCTCTTTTCAGAGCTAGATTTTGTGTTTTATCCATCCATCCATCCATCCATCCATCCATCCATCCATCCATCCATCCATCCATCCATCCATCCATCCATCCATCCATCCATCCATCCATCTATATATATAAAAAAGAGAAAATGCAAGTCATTAAGGAGTCTTTGGTTGCATCGTATATAATAAAAACTTATTAAATTATCAATTTATGACTTTATTGATCTCACAGTGGAGAAATTTGCTTTATGTAGCAAAGCAGCAGTATGTATGCTTTAGTACTTGTAAATTTCAATTTTATGCAGAATAATTATTGATAAAAGTACGTAAGTAATGACAATGGAAAAGATGTTCGCCCCAGAACTTACACCCGAAAGAATTTTATCCACCATACCTTTTTTCTAGGAAGCATGGAAGTTTAAATATATGCATCTATTTGCTAGCAAAGGCTTTCGGAAAGTATAGTTAGTCTTTATTTAGAAATTATGGATGTTTTGCTAGTTAATTTCCTGTTGGAACAATATATCGCAGTATATCGCCTATCCGCTTTCGACCCCCCCTCAGTGTACTTTGGTTATTGCCTGGCCACCCTTATAAAAATTTTCTGGCTACGCCTCTGGATAGGATCACACCAGTCAACAGGTACATAGGACAGCAGTATCACGTATTTAATAAATGAAAATCTCTCTGCTGCAGTCTATAGTTTTCTTCTTCATCCTTTCCTTTTTCTTCTCTGTCCTTGTCAGCCTAACTATAAAGCTAATCTTATTTAGCAGCTTTTGATTGTTAGCATGAAAGTCTTTGCACCACCTAATTTGGAAATGACATTCTATTAATGTAATTCTCAACAGGAAACAGGTTTCTCTCTTTCAAATGTGGTTTTCCCATCAGTGAGAAAATCTCCTTCTCCAAATGCAGGCCTTGATATGTAAATTTAGGTACATTCCTGCTCTAGCAAACCTG